GTAAGTAATCAAGAAGTACATTAGGTCTCAAACAAGTATAATCCATCAAAAGGGTAAACATGTTGAGACTACCTAACTAAGGTGTAGCTTATACACGTTTACTTAAATGAAAGACTATCAAATTCTTGACAAAATGATGAAGCACATGGAGCTAGAGATTAAGCATACACCATCAAAGGATTTCCTAAGCAATGGTCTATCAAAGTCACCTATCAACATGCCATTAAATCATTTCATAACCTTGTTTCCATTCTCACCATGTAAACTCAAGCAAAAAGATTAATACAAGACATCACCTAACATAAGATAATGAGCTTGAAGAAATCATCCATACGTATATAAACATTCATTACACCAAATGAAGTGCTCTTAGCTATGAAAAAGACCATAAATATACATTGCAATCCCCCAATATAGACTACCCTAGGACATACTTACAAGGGAGGGACTTCATCACCTCCCTAGAGAAAGAGTTAGTTACCCATTGCTAAGCTAGCAGAAGGAAGAAGCTCCATCTTCATGGCCATTTTCGTGCAACCTTCTTGGAGCTTGAAGAACACACCTCTTTTGCTCTCTTCTCTCTCCTCTAATGTTGTAGAAAATATAGGATATGATGCATGTGGCCCTTAGTTGCCTTATATCTTTCAACCAAGCTCTCTCTCCTCCAAAGACATTCCCAACCACTCCATAAAGAAGGAGGGTGGAAATGCGGAAACCAATGCACAAGTGGACTAAAGAGGGGTTCATTTCCGAGCTGCAATCTGGCCAAATTTCGAGCACTTGAAGGGTGGCCTCGAGCACTCGAAATTAGTGTAATGAGCAACATGCAACTCTTGCCCATCTCTGACCCACTGTGGAAGAATGACCATAACTTTGTGCTCTGAACTCCGAATGATGATCTGTTTGAAGATTTGGAGAGCTTATTCAGAGCTTTAAAAACTTCATGTTTTGATGAAGACCCAATTCTCAAGTCTGGTTGGTCGAAAATGGGAAGAAAGGCAGCACTTCAGTGCTGCCAGGCAGTTCTGCGCACCTCTGGTAAGAAGATCATAACTCTCTGCTCCGAACTCCGAATGGAGAACCGCTTAAAGATTTGGAAAGCTGATTCAGATCTATAAATCTTTCATGTTATGATTGAAGTCCAGTTCTTGAGTTTGCTAGGTCGAAAATGGTGACAAAAGTCAGGTTCTACTGCTGCCAGAATTTCAGAATTGGCACCCTTTTTGTTCAAAATTCCACAAGGCATCATTTTTGCTTCCTTTTTGCAATTTAACCTGAAAATGTGCAAAAACATACAATTGGAGATAATCTATATAAAATACACAAATAAAGAACTTAACTAATGAAATTTAGGGCGCTTGAATATACAATATTCGGCGCTTATCAACAACAATGCATTAGAAATTTGAAAAAATAAATAAAAATAAAAATTGAAATGAAGAAATCTTTATTCCATGAATTTAATACCTCAGAGCCTTGTGTTGCTATTGTTGCTGCTCTAATGCTTTTTAATCTTTTTGGTGGATACTTTCTTCCTCCTACTCTTGGGCCTACTGTTGCTGATGATGATGATGGGCCTACTGTTGCTACTCTTGCCTCTTTTGTCATAGGAGCCTTTTGACATCCGCTTTTGTTGTGTCCAAAATGTCCACATACACTGCACTGCACAACAGTTGACCTTTTCCTTGCTTCTGCTTCACCATCTTCCCTCTTCCTTGACAGTCTTAGTCTGCCACAGGGTCTTTTGAACTCTGGTGGATCCAATTCAGGTTTGTCAACCTCAGTCCACACACTTTCGTGGTACATGGGGGTGGATGAAAGGAGTGCAAGTCTTTGTATATGTATCCTTGTTGTAGAAATCTGAACATAACTTCACAATATCTACCCTTGTGGTAGTAATGGTTACACATGCATGCATACAAGGAACTCCACTCACCTGCCATTCCCTACAACAAGAAGTCCTCTCCCCAAGCATAACAATATAACTCTTCTATTTTGCATTATCAGTTACCTCATACACACCTTCAACAGGCCATGTCAATTCACATGTACCAGCTTTGGATATATTGGAGTTCAATCTTCTCTTAATTTTTGGCACTATTGTGGTTGTCTAATCTGCTGTCCTTTGAAACCTTTTGTTGAATTTAGACATCAGCTTTGTTCTTATACATTCAAAAATAGCAATGATTGGTTTTGCTCTAACATTCCCAAGCCAAGAATTAAATGACTCCACATGATTATTGGTGACATAGTCACACTTCACCCTATCATCAAATTTGTGTCTTGTCCATGTCTCCAAAGGATGCTCCATCAACCAATTTGAGGCATCCTGACTAATTGACTCAATCTGCCTTATTACAATTTTGAAACCTTCTTCATTATACGTATTTACAGCTTCCCATAATAGTTTCTTGTACTTCACACCAGGCCACCGTGTCATAAAGTTAGCATATATGTGCCTGCAGCATCTCCTAGTTATTGTCTGTGGAAAAATTGCAGAGAAAGCAGTTAAAATGCCTTTTTGGCCATCTGACACAAAAGTCCATGGCATATTAGTTGTTGTATCACCTAGGAATTTATGCAAGTGATCCAGAAACCATTTCCAACCGTCGTTAGTTTCAGACTCAACTATAGCTACTACAAATGGATATAATCCATTATTCCCGTCAAGTCCTACTGCACTCATCAACATACCCCTCAATGGCCCCTTTAAAAAATAGCTATCAATACCAATAAATGGTCTGCAACCATTAATAAAACCATTTTGAAATGGTGCAAATGAAAAAAAAAAATGTTCTCTTGAACTTGGGAAGGTCATCTATAGTTAGTTTTATAAAAATTAAACTCCCAGGATTAGTTTTAACCACCTCAGCTACATATTTCCACAGCTTTTTTGTAAGAAGATGATGTAGAATTGATTGGGGAAGCCTTTATGGCCTGTTTAGACCGCTAGGGTGTCAAACGGGCATATGTACTGCAGAACAGATCATTCATTCAATTATCAAATAATATATAAGATTTCTCTGAGATTATTTCTTATTTTGTGGATTCAAAATACCCACCTTGTAGATTCAAGGTGGTTGTTCCTCGTTAGAAGATATGGTATAACTGTCATATTGGAGTGCACTTTTGGGATTAATAAAAAAATATCAATCATGTGTATCATAATATAGTTGGAAAGTGGTCAGGGGTTTAATGCAGGGACAAGTTGCTCACTTTTGAAACTACAAGAAATGAATTGCTCACTTTTATACCACAAGGGGGTTACTGTGCTATTTTGGTGAAAGTTCAAAGTTGTTGTTGTGTATTTTTTTTTTTTTTTTTTTTTTGGCACTTTCGCAAAAAAATATACATATATAAATAATCATAATAATAATTAAAGATATGCAAAGTTGCCTTTAAATATCAATGCCTACGCAAACCATAAATCAGCAGAGCACTAGTTTTAAAATGATCAAATGATAACGCCTCCCCCAAATCAAAACAAAATACAAGGTGTGCAATACATATAAAGGTTGATCGAAATAAATTATTTAATATCTTTGGTTGCTTCTAGTCTTCCACGTTTATTGACCACAAAAAAGGTGTACACTATAAAAATTTGTATCTATCTCATTAACAACAAATCATAATGAAAGTTTAACTAAAAATAAATAAATCATAATGAAAGGCATGTAAGTTGTCTTTCAAAAACAAAAATATTTATTCAAGGCGAGCTAACCGATCAATAATTTTAAAAAGAAAGAAAGACAAAGTGTTTAGTCAAGAAATACACATTTACACATTCTTTTAATCCTATAGAGACTTAAATCTAATTTTTTTTTTTTGAAAAATAAAAAAATATCATTAAACTATACTTAAACCATTGGTACAAATGTTCTTATTACAAAATCCCAATATGAAAGGTTCTCAAAATAATAATTTTTTTTTTTTTTTTTTTTAATATCATTTGTTGAAACTACTCATAAAGGTAGTTCACCATTCTTTAAAGTGTGACGTCATGAAAGGTGTGAAATTATATAAAAACTTATACTCAATAATATATCAATGCATCCGCATAGCAAGAGCCAAAACTAGCAATATTTTAAAATGAAGAAATACTAATGACTCCACCAAACGAAGCCACTATAGTATACTAAATGCCCAAGTGGTGATCAAATGAAAGTCAACCAAGTAATAGTTTAAAATAATCAAATGAGTCGCCAATTTTGACCACTTTAGTACAGTATTTTCAATTTAATTTTTGTAATATCTTTTGTTGCTTCTACTCTTCCTCCTTTAGGTCAAGCAATAAAACATTTTCTAGGTGTGGCTATATGAAATTTGTTATGCAATTACGAAGGATTTAATTTATTTTATATTTTTGTTATTTTCTCTAAACAATCTAGTTTTTCCGCCTTTTTTTATTCATTCCCTTTTTATCTCTTCTAATTTATTTATTTATTTATTTTGAATCTTTCTTGTTTACAACTAATTTGCGTCTCTCATTCTCTCTTCATCTGCTATCTATATCACTTTCTGATCTATTTCACACTCACTATATTTTCCTGTTTTGTAAAACTTCGCTAGCTTCGTCCGAACAAATCCATGAGCAATAGAGGTACGCCTTAAAATCTCTTCTTTAATTAGTTTCTTCACCGATAATAATCAGAGCTCTCGATCTGCATTTATGTTGTGTCATTCGTTGCCTAAAATCTCTTTTTAATTTGAATCTTTTTCTCTTGTGAATCACTGTTCTTTATCTTTCTCTCTCACTTGCCAGTCACTGCTTTAGTTTCTTCAACAAAACAGTGTAAGCTCTCTGCAGATATTTTGTATTCAATCATCTCATCTGTTTTTTTTTTTTTTCCTTCCTTTCTGTTGCACTGAGAATTTTCACTTTTCGTTATCGATCTCTTTCACTCGTTTGTCTAGTTTGTGAATATTCTTTTGTATTTCATCATCTTGTTTGTTACAAAAATAAAAAAAGTAACAAAAAACAGCTAGCTAGTGAGTTGAAAATGAGTTGTGTTATAGATGCTATTGTGGGAAAAATATTAGATCCAATATTTGACTATTTGTTCGCATCAATTGGGCGTCAAATTGGTTATCTGGTTAAATATAAGGAAAATATTGAGAGTTTGGAAAAAGAAGTGAACGATCTTAAAGGTGTGAGGGACAGAGTCCAAGCAGCAGTCAACAGAGCCACGGACAATGGGATGACCATTGAGAAGGATGCTAAGAAGTGGCTGGAGGAAGTGCAGCAGTCGTTGACGACTTTGGAAGAAGTGAACAAATCATTGCAAGGCAGAACAAATCTCAAATGTCTTGATGTACGTTCACGGTATAGGATTGGTAAGAAAGGGAAAAAGATGGCGATGGATGCTATCAAACTAAAAGAGAAACACAATACGTTTGGCGATGAAGTTGCACACCCTACTCCTCTCAAAGACATTTGGTACACATCCAGCACAAGTTATGAGCATTTTGATACCAGAAAATCAGTCTTTGAAGAGATCATGCAGGCCTTGAGAGATGATAAGAATTTCAAAATTGGGATATATGGAATGGCAGGCGTTGGCAAGACAACATTGGTGGAGGAAGTTGGCAAACAAGCTAAAAAGGTTCCTTTTGATGAGGTCGCTATGGCAGTTTTTTCTCAGAAGCCGGATTTGAGACAAATTCAAGGAAAACTTGCGAACTGTTTAAATCTGAAACTAGATAATGAGAGTGAAGAATGGAGAGCCGGTCAACTATACAATAGATTGAAGAATGGGAAAAAAATTCTTGTAATATTGGATGACATTTGGGATGATCAGATTACATTGAAGAAAATAGGAATTCCAGCAGAAAATAGCACGGGTTGCAAAATTTTGCTAACCTCTCGAAGACTGGAAGTGTGCAAACAAATGGGGTTTGAAAAAAACTTCCCAATTGGACTCCTGTCGGGAGCTGAAGCTTGGCAACTATTCAGGAAAACAGTTGGAGATTTTATAGAAGTTGATATTGATATTCACTCTGTAGCAGAACAAGTGTGCAGAGAATGTGATCATCTACCGTTGGCAATTTGTGCAGTTGGAGGGGCATTGAGCAGTGAGGAAGATAAGCGTGTATGGAATGATGCACTTGAACAACTGAAACATTTTCATAGATATAAAATTGATAGAATGAAAGAAAAAGTGTATTTATGCATTGAGTGGAGCTACATGTATCTGAAGCAGGAAGATGTGCAGTCATGCTTTCTGTATTGCTCTTTGTTTCCTGAAGATACTGAGATTCCAATTGACCTTTTGGTACCTTTTCGAGTAGGAACGAAGTTTCTTGGAAGCATGGATAGAACATCAATGAAACAAGTAAGAGATAGAACACTTGTGATAGTTGGTATCCTTAAAAAATCTAATTTGTTGTTAGAAGGTGAAGACAACATGGTTAAAATGCATGACGTAATTCGAGATGTTGCCATATCAATTGCATTATCAAAAAATGAGAATGCATTTCTAGTGCAAGATGGTGTCAATGTTTGGCCTGATAAAGATGATTATAAATGTTGCAAAGCCATCTCATTAAGGGCTTCCTGCAATATTCGTCGGCTTCCTGATCAGTTAGAATGTCCAGTACTACGCACTTTAGTATTGGGATCATCCGATGATTCACTACTAGAACTCCCAAATAGCTTTTTTGAAGGGATGAAAAAGCTTGAAGTTTTGGTTTTGGACAACATGAAACTAGCACCATCGTCACTTTCACATTTGGTTGGTCTCCGGATGTTGTGTCTAAGTGATTGTGAATTGGTAAACCTATCTTTCATCAAGGAATTGAAAAACCTTGAGATACTGGTCATTGGTTATATTTATGAATTCAAAGAGATGGTTGTGGAAATAGGACAATTGACTTCTTTACGGTTGTTGGATTTAAGAAAATTTAACAAAGATATAGGATTTCCATCGGGTTCCCTGTCATGTCTATCCGATCTCGAGGAATTGTACATTTGGAAGGAATATAATGGATGGGAGGTTGAAGGCAATGCAAGCATTGTTGAGATAAATTGTTTGACTAGCTTAACCGCTTTAGATATTTGTATACCAAAAGATGTCTTCTTACTACTGCCCAAGGACCTTCCCAGCTTTCAGCTGTTAACGAAATATAAAATATGGATTGGGTCGAGAAAAAATTATTTTTATTCACTGCTTGACCGATACACAGAAACAAAGGTCTTGGGACTTGTGGGTATTCCTTTGATGGATGGGCTTGACGTTTTGATTGCGAACGCTGAAGTACTATATTTGGTTCATTTGGAAGGTTCAAAGAAGGTGCTTCACAACAGAGACGGAGAGTGGTTTTCAGACTTGAAGTTTCTTAGAGTTTGGGGATGTGAGGACATGGAACATCTACTTGGCAAACCCAAAGGGAATTCAAAAACTCATGGACCATCTCCATTGGGTTCTTTTGGTAAATTGAGAGAATTAGATGTTTACCGTTGTAGATCAATGAAGTATCTGTTCTCGGCCTCCACTGCAAGATGTCTTCCAAGACCACATCAACTACTTGTTAGAGAATGTGAGGCATTGGAAGAAATAATTGGAGGTGATGAGGAAGTCACGGATAAAGTTACTTTTCATCAGTTAAAGAAATTGTGGTTAATACGTCTGCCAAATCTCAGAAGCATTTACACCAATACGAAGAAGACATCAACTACAGAGTCTAGCACACCTTCGACCGTTACACAACCTCTCTTCAATGAAAAGGTATTTTTTATAAATCAGTAGCCTTGTATATATTTTATGTGAACACCTTTAGTTGATTTCTGAAATTGTTTGTTGACCCCACTAATTTGTCAAAGTTCTTGCAAAGCAAAATTGAAAACAAAGATGAGGTAAAACCTAAATTGAGGAAAAATTATTAAGATTGTAGAGTTTACAACTATATACATACACGTATTTATATATTAGTTGTTATTCTGATGTGGCTTTACTTTATTGGGTGTTAACAATTTCTGCACAAATAAAAGTCATGGGTCCAATGATATAAATCTTGATAAAAAAAAAAAAACAAAATAAAATAAAAAAACATACATTTAATTTTTGGAAGTTTATTTGAGATTTAAATACTATAAAAACGTGCTTCCAATAACCACATACAATGCATCCCCATAATCATTTATAATCTCAAGGCATATAAGAGTTTATGATAGAATGCATTCCTATGACAGACAATGCACCATAACTCTTAAATATGGATAATCACAAAATTATTTAAATTAAGTGATTAAGATTAATTATTAATATTAGACCACTATTTGAAATAAGTTTTATTTTATTTTAGCATTTTAGGCAAAAAATTTCCTAGGCATTTTAGACAAGTTTATTCCCTAAAAAATTCTTTTAAAAAAATAAAAAAAATAATCATGTCATTCGGAATGAATTAAGGTTAATTAAAAATATAATACCATTACTGTTATCCTTTTCTTTTTCTTTTACGTGAGTAACATTTATGTTGTTAATTTTATTAGGCTTCGGACTTTGTTGTTAATTTTAATTTCACAAATTCAATGCTTTTGATGATTTTTTTTTTTTTTTTTGGGAGTAATTCAGCCTATTTTGATCTTGGGCTGGAACTTCATTTTCCCGCAAAAAGAAATTCATAGTCAAAGCAATTTGACTTTAGATAAAAAGTCACACTAATATATAACCTTGCTATGCTTTCTAACTGTTGTGAGATGCTTCGTTTTTATCCTGTCGTGTTAAATCCAATGCTTGGTTTAGCACTCATCTTGCCCATATTCATAACTCTTGTCGATTGTATCGCTCTCTCTTTTCCCCAATTTGGTCTTATATCCATAACCCTGGGTCGATTTAATTATAAATTGTCAAAAAATTGTCTGAGAGGAACAAGCATGCATTTAAGAGGAAGGTCAAACTCAGTTTTGAACTCCATCTTGGCTTCAATCAAATTGAGACTCTCCCTGTAAATTTATACTTGTCTTCCCAAACCAATAATAAATTATATTACACAAATATGGGGTCGATCTATCCTTAGTTAAATGTAGGGATCATTCCTATTGTTTCTTGATAAGGAAAAATAGAAAAAATAAATACGGTACATAAATTGTTTCTTAGTTGTTCTATAGTTGTAGATGATAAATAGTAGAGTATCTTCTTTTTGTAAAGACGGTTTAGAATTGATATTTTCAAAAATCTTAGTGTGGAATGGGTTGAGAAGACTTACAAGACAAAGAATATATACATGATGTTTATTAGTTGACAAAATTTAATGTAATGGATCACAGGTTATGTTTCCTGTCTTGGAGATATTGCACATTGAAGGATTGGATAGCTTTAAAGCGATATGGGACAAGCAATTACTCCCAGTCCTAAAAACTAGATATGGGACAAGCAATTACTCCCAGTCCTAAAAGCTAGAGATTCCTTTCAGTACCTTAAAAATTTAGATGTGAGCTTTTGTATGGAGATGGAAGAGATACTTGCATTTGAAGTTGGACAAGGGAAAGAAGAAGCAGAAGCAAATGATGAGATTCCCGAGATCCCTCACTTAAAGACCATAGAATTTGAAGCCTTGCCAAACCTAAAAAGTTTCCGATCACTACAAGCCCTCGTTAATCACAAGGTATGTTATGTTCTAACTCTTAATTAACCATGCATATATGCGTACTGAACATCCCTATATATTGTCAAAACCTTTCCATCTTCACAAAGCTATCGCATAGAAATTATAATAATTTCCAATGCTCCCTCTATCAAATTAAACTCTTTAATTTCTGTTACTCTCTTATTCTCTCTCCTCCCCATAACAGCTGGTATGTACTCCCTTTATTTTTCATCTCCACAATGGTGCCATTACACAGCTGCTTATATCCCCAGTAAAATTTACTAATTTATTGTTTCACTTAATCAATTATATACCCTGCGATAGGATTATATTTATAGTATGAAATTACGAAAATATATATAATTAATTAATATTCTGAAGTTTTCTACATACTTCGCTTAGCTTGGAAATAAAAATGAATGACAAATTGGATGCACAATTCCATATCTGGTGGAATCATTAATAATTAGGAACTACCATGTGAAAAAATAAAAATCAAAATCAAAAGCTTTAGCAGTGAAGCACATGTTAATTAGTAATTAAGTGGATACTAAGAAACATGTGGAAGACCTCTAACAGGGTTAATGTTTTTTTTCTTGTAATTTTATGTTGAGATTTGAGAGAATGAAGCTATATATGCTTCCCTTTTTCTCTTTGTTATTTCTGATGACTAACACCATTAGATTGATGTTTTTGCAGGTCAGGTTTCCTAGTTTGGAGAAAATGACTATAATAAGGCATTAAATGTGTGCAGTGTGTGCAAGAGTGTGTGAATGTATCAGGAAATAAGTGTGGCAGTAAGTAAATGTGTGCAGTAAAGTGCATGAAGAAAAGAAAGTGTGGCAGTTTAGTAAATGTTTGTTTCTCCCATAATCTTTTTTCTCATTTATTGTTGGAGGGTTTTTCCAAATTAAATACGTACAGATAAAAAAGAAATTTTGTAAATGCAAAACAAGCAGAAAATTGGTATTAGGCCTTGAAAGGTTCATTGTATGTACACATACTGTTGCACTTACCAACTATATACAGAATTATGATAAAAGGCTTAAAAATCAGTAAAAGAGAAGGAAATTAACAACAAATAGGAATATCTGGGAACGCATATCTCAAATACACAAATTTGGCAACAAATAGAAATAACTGGGACCACATACCTCAAATAAAGTCTATTGAATCTGATAATTTCAAACGCATGGTCAAAATTAAAATCAATAACATAATCATAGAGTTGACACAACACCAATCAGCTAAAAAGATGAATTTCTATTTGAAAGAATTACTAACATTTGAGTGAAGATCGAATGGTTAAATAACAAGTTATTTGTGATGAACTAAATCACATAAAACGGAAGCGGAACAATGATTTGAAAAGTGATTTGAAGAATTCTTGTGTTGAAAATATTTCAAAGAAGGAATTTGAAAAAGCTTTTGAGCCTAAAACTCCATTTCCGGATGCCTTGAAATGATTCATTTCCATTGAAAAGCAAAAGACAAAGACCAATGAAATCATTGATGTATTTAGGCAAGTGAAGATTAATCTTCCATTTTTGGATGCAATTAAGCAAATTCTGGCTTATGCCAAATTTTTGAAAAATCTTTGCACCCAAAAGAGGAAGAACAAGAGCCAAGCACCAAGAAAAGTGGTCTTAACTGAACAAGTGAGCTCCATCTTGCAACATAACACTCTCCTAAAGTTTAAGGACCCCGGTTCACCTACTACATCTTGCATTATTGGTGACCGTCTCATTAATCGGGCTCTTCTTGACTTAGGAGCAAGTGTTAACCTTCTTCCATATTCGGTATATGTCAAATTGAGCTTAGGAGACTTGAAAACGACGTCGGTAGTTTTGCAACTTGCCGACCGATCCATCAAAAAGCTCCGAGGCATCATTGAATATGTTTTGATTAAAATCGATAAGTTCTTCTTTCCCGTTGATTTCGTTGTCATTGACACGGAACCGATTCCAAAGCCCAAGAGCCAAATTCCCGTTATTCTTGGCCGCCCCTTCTTGGTAACCTCAAATGTCAACATCAATTGTAGGACAGGAATAATGAAAATCTCATTTGGCCACATGAAGGTAAAGTTGAATATCTTTAATCCAACCCCGAATTCAATGGACAAACATGAAGAAGTGTGTGTTGTTGAAAAATGTCTTGACAATGAACTTGATAAAATTGAGTCTTTGCTTAGAAGTGGAGGCTCTAAGAGTTCATCTTTGAACTTGAATTCAAAAGTTGTTTCAAAACCTAGTATTCCAAGGGCATGGAAGCCCAAGAATTGCATAAACCAAGGACCATCGATGTCTTTTGAACCAAATCCAATAAGTTCTTTAGAGAACCATTTGTTGGGTGGGGTTCAAAGTACTTTTCACCTCATCAAGGAGGGGATGCATAACAAGATATTTGATCCGGGCTGAAAAAGCCCAACGTCTTGCTAGAGACGTTAAAAACTAGTAATGCTTCGTAGGGTTTATAACCTTATTCCTCCCTTATTTCTATTTTACCTTTCATTTCTTGCGTCATCTAGATATATTCTGGGTTCATACACATTGTTAGGGATTTTGGTTAAGAATGCATGCACTTTCATTTTGAAATTTGGTATTTTGTGCCTGTTCGATCGATCTCAAAAGAGGTTCAATCGATCGAATTCCATATTCACCTCTCTGTCCCATCGTGCGAAGTGTTTTGTGATCGATCTAAAATTCCAAAATTGATCCAACTTCCTCTTGAATCGATCTTCACTTCCAACACTTAAAAAAAATTTGAACCCTGCATAAAATAGTTCTCTGTTTGATCGTTCGAACTAGTCTGCAAGTTTTCACCTGTTCGATCGAACGAAGTATATTCCAAATCGATCTTGGAGTGATCGATCTATGTTCCTTTGTTGACTTTGACTTTGATTTTGACTGCACTTTTGTTTTTGATGTCTATACAAAACTTCACTCATTTCTTGGTGATTTTTGTCCTATTTTTTAACTGAATAAACAAGGATAAACTTCAAATTATACCACCACCAAAATAATAATAGAGAGAGATCAATCGAGAGATCATTTGGATTCCATAAGTAACGATGATTCAAAATATTTACACATTTGATCAATAAAAGAGATTCAACAACTAAAAGAAAAACCATTCTTTGAGATCCTTCCTTTCTTCAAAGGGAAAGAAGAGAGATAGAATCAGCCCGATTTCCAAAATGTCCCTGCTATTCACGGAACATAAAAAGATAGAGAGAGATAATTAAAACCCCAAAAACATGCGGCTTGGATCTATGCCGGTGCACCATGCACGGGCTCATCCAATATCTATTCGACCTGTGGAGCTGACCTGATGTTGCTTAAGCCTATGGTGAACCACCTATAATGAACAATAAGCAGCTGATAAGTCAGCAGCAGCTAGTTTGTTCATTACCCTCAATTTGGAAAAAACAACTCACATTTACTTTCACCATATTCAAATCACTATTTTACCAAAGAAAATATTCAAATCACTGTAATGAAAAGCACTTTCTGCAATCCATGTCTCTTACCGTTCATACTACTAAACAATACCAACCAAGTGAAAATCATAATGGTAATCAGATCTAACTAATGCAAGTAATCTTTTACTGCTTTCATTTTCTAGGGTGAAACGAGAAGCATACAACACATGATCAACCTATAAATATATGAATCAACCAGCAACGTGACGTAACGTTGAAGGACAAAAAGGAAACTTAACCAAATAATGTGTGTCACTGATGTATTAACACAACAGCTATACCTCCCTCATGGTGTGAATTTGATATATCATTGTCATTGTACAAAATATTAGCTCCTGTGATTGATTATCATTAATCGGTAGACTGTGTTAGCCTGATCTAAAATGGTATTTTTGAACAACAGATTCAGTAATGAAGGATAGCAAGGTATATAGATTCAACATATCATCAAATCCCAAAATTTAGGGGTTAATTGATGCATCCATCATTTGCAAGAAAAATGGACAGGGCACGCTTGCTCTTACTCAAAGAAGAGAAACTCGGCCGGAAATATTAATTTCATTTGTGTAAACTAAAAGGAGAAAATAGATAAATGCATAATTTTTATTCAATACCTTCTAAAGCAGATGTATAATTCCTAGTTGTGTGATCATGGACAAATGTCAATGAGGCAACTCTGGTTCTGCTGTCTGCTGCTGCTGCTTTTTCTTGCTTTCTTGAAGCTCTCCGTAGAAATAAGAGAGAAAACCCCAGAGATTCAAAGTGAGAGAGAGCCCTTTCTCAATTTGAAATTTCTCATGGTAGAACACAACCGCCAAGCACTCTGTCACCGGCAGCAGAGTAGCAATTATAATACCAGAAAGCAATGACGAAGAACAGAAAATAGCTCCAATTGCACCCATGAAAAACAATTGCCAAACTATTGAAGTCACCACAAGCATCACATAGTATGTGGTTTGCCCATACTCATACTCTCTTGCCTCTCCTGGAATTTTCTGCAGTAGTAAATGAAAAAAATTAAAGATCAAATAAAAAATGACACATAATAGTCAAAGAGCTGAGAAGTCATGCTAATTCTTCTCCTTTAAGATATATATATATATAGAGAGAGAGAGCGAGAGAGAGAGACCTTGAAGTCGTCGTTGAAAAGCATCCCAATGGTGCAGAAAACAGTAGCAAAAAAGGACATAATCATCTGCATCTCCATGACTAGAGAATAAGTAATGACCTCCTTGGCTTTCATGTATGTCAGCTCAACCAGTGGTAGAACAAACCCATATAATGCTGCTGCTCCAAGTACCATAAAGAATCCCACCCAATACTCCTTGGTAGTAACATGTGCCGGGCGATCAGAGTTAGTATGAAATGCTAGCACTACAGCTCCAACAGACAATAAAAACACTGCGTTGACCGTAAAAGCAGTGAACTTTTGCTTGACTAGAATATAAGCAAATCCAGCAGTAAAGGCCAACTGAGAGGCAATTATAAGCTCAGAGGTGGAGAGAGGGAGAAGGGAAACACCATAGGAATACAGATAATCGTCTACACCAGTGAGAACGCCGACAACAGCACAAGGAAGAACGAGGAAAGGTGTTATAGAGAAGAGCTTAGCCCCGGGGCCTTCCTTGCTTCGACGGTAAAAATATGAAACTATGATTGGGATCATGATAAATGGCCAACCACCAGTTTCTAACCAGCTTGAAAGCCAAATGCTCTTTCCGCCTTTCAGAAAGTAAAACCGCATCAAAAGTGGACCACCGGAGTTGCCTATGGCTAATATTGTGCAGTTCACCAAGAGTAGGGCTCTCTTCATGGCTTTCTTCTTCTTCTCCTCTTTGTATGGCACTTGATTGTTTGTAATCGGATTCTCCATCTCTGTAAAGACTAGTTAGTATATGCTCTTGCTATAACTGCAGTACAACTGACGATCAAACCTGGAGAAAATGGGATAACTGAGCATATTTTACCCAGTTTGGATGTCCCGTGAAAATGGAATCAAATAGCATTCAGAAACATATTAGGTAATAACCCTTGCTGTAACCAGGCATTAAGGAAAACATGTATACTCAGTTACTGCACAAACAATAAATAAAGTTCGTTTCTAAATCTAACTAAAAGCATTAGTGAATTAAATTCAATTTTCAAGAGACGTCTAAATGTACATCACAAATTCAATTTTTTTTTCAAGGACTACAATTTATTTACTAGTTAGTTATTCAAGACATCACAAAAAATTTAGAACATTAACCTGGATTTACACATTCATTCATGCCATCTTAAATGGCTTTCCAAATGCACCTATTTTTCAAAGCATTTACACAATTTGACCCACCATTTTGAACACTTGTGTATCATACGATCATCTTAAAATAACACTAAACTATTGAGTTATGAAACTCTTTGTCGTTTTTTCACTAAGTAGCTACGAAAACTGCAAAAAATTTTATTTCATTTTGTATAGCATTAACAAGGTTGAAAACACACAGAAAATTATAGATTAAGGAACTTTTGAACATTCTAGGAAATTGAAACAGCAATTGTGTTCACTTTAGCACTACAATAGGAAGTTATTACCTAAGTCACATAATGTGGGAGTGGGAGTGGGAGCGGGAGCGAATTCGAGAGCGGGAGCGTGAAAACGCAAAATTTACATCACAAAGAATGGGAGTGGGAGCGCTCAAAGCGTGAGAATGGTACCCGTTGACAAGGATTGTGTGACTTAGGTTATTACTATAATGGACAAAATTAGATAGAAAAATAAATCATTTATTTATTACTTTTGGGTAGGTAATGAGATCATGTACTAAATACCCTAATATGCCTTTATTTAAGGCAAGAACCATCAACATAAACACTTTGAATACATATTATCATAAAGTTGGTAGCTCATACAAATCAGATGGACATGCACATGTATTACACAAAAAAAATTATTTATTTAATTATTTAATTTTAGTGGCTCTCCAACTCCCGTGAGTGGCAAATGCCCAGTTTCACAAAAGCATCACCTCCTAGGAAGTTACATATCAGCCACTTACCTCTCCTTCCAAACTTCATTTAGGGAAGTGGCTTCCCCAAATTCAAAAAACCAAGGTGATCGGTCTTATGAACTCGAAAACACTTAACATGTTAGGGTGCATTTGCATGTCCTAAAGAAATTGAATGGATCTGCTGTGATTTTAGATAGCATTCTTAGTTATGTAACCATTATCTCAAATAGAGACATTAGGAAAGAAATTGCCATCTCAAATTTTAACTCAGTATTTTTTTTTTTTAAATGCTACAATTTCGCAATTACCATTAAGTCATGGACGAACCATACAACAACAACAACAAAAAATGAAAAAGTTAAAAACTTCCACATGTTTTAGAGTAATGCTATCAAGAGAGATTTATTAAATGAAGATGTCAAAAAACGGTCTCAATCACGTGATTAAATATGGAGATCAAGGCTCATTGTCATGGGAGTTCTCTCATTTCTCAAATTTTCAACATTTTTAAAAGTATGGTTGGATATGCTGATTTTTCATGTCAAATGTGATGGAAAAGGCAATGAGGCCACAAGGCAGCTCTTGAAGGATTGGCCCCCAATAAACGATTATGTATGAATTGAATTGAACTAACCTAATGCTATGCTTGGCGGCACCAAATGGGTGCCTCAGATTTGGGATTGGATAAAATTTAATAAAAAGTTTGAACTAAACTTCCTCTAATTCTAAATCCAAGGCACCGAATTGGTGCTCCCAAACATAACATAAGTGTCTTCAATCCAATAAAACAGTTACCCAAACATAACATAAGTGTCTTCAATCCAATAAAACAGTTAGGCTATATTTAGTGGGCATGGAATTGGTAGAATTGGAGAAAAGTAACTCAAAAAATTGAATCAAAATTTTTTCCAATTCCAATTCCAAAGCTCCAATTCAATGCCACCGAATCTGAACTAAATTTTCTTCAATCCCAATTCTACAGTGACAGATTCGGTGCTAGTTACTGTAATCGAACATGCATCGTCTGGTATGGGCAAAACAACAAACAGATGGCATATTAAATTGCAATATACTCTTAAAATGCAATTACAATTACAGAAGTAACAGATTATAGAGTTTACCTCTTTGAAGGACACACACTGCACACAACCAGATCAATATCTCCGGATTTAACCACAAACCCATCAACCACAAAACACCTCTAGACCCTTTACAGCCTCCAATCTTCAATTTCAAGCCAAAAAAAAAAAAAAAGGAAATTAAGGGGGAAAAAAATAATAAATAATAATAAATAAAAACTGGGCAAGAAGAATATAGAAGTAAAGAAAGTGAGAAAAAAAAGGAAAAAAGAAAAAAAGAAAAGACAAACCCTCAAATCAGAGATTACTTGAAAAAAGGTTGATGTGTAGACGAGACCCACAAGTACTGCAAAACGAGATCAACCAAGAAAAATCCTGAAATCAATGATGAATTTCAAAATAAAGCCTCAAATATCAAAGAGAGAGTCCCTTCGTTTAATGGGACACGTTAGAGAGATTGTTTAAGAGTTGTCCACCTTCCCGCCAATACCGGACGGTTGGACACTTCTGACTGAAACTTTCCTCTCACCAAGCGAAAGCCAGAGAGGCACATTCAATGCAGTATTTAAAAAATTTATTGTCTCGACCCAAAACAACGAAAAAAATAAATAAATAAAAACAAAAACAAGTTTTGGCAAGTGGTTTATTGCGTATCGGTGGCAAAATTTGGTGCCACCACCTAACACGATTACACTTACATTTGAATTTGGCATAATGGCGTTGATCATAATTAAACATACCCAATTAAATTAAATGTGTCAATTTATAACTCCATTAATCTATTAAATTAAATGTGTTAAGTGTTAAAAATTACTTATAAAAATGTGTCAATCGGTTTGGAACTTTAGGATTTGATAGGAATTAGAATTTAAAAAGAATTTCAATTGTTTGGAATGATGGGAGTTTAAAAGGGAAAGGGATCTGATGGGATTCTAAAAGAAAATTAGTAAGTGGAGAAATCCCAGCAAAAACTATAAGATTTGATTGGGATTTGAAATGTAATTATAATATTATCCTTTTATTATCCATCTTCTGATCTTTAATTTTAAAAACCTCCTTCATAACTGTCATGTTTCTATAATTCCAAATTGGTACAAAGTTTATTTTATTTCAATTTCTCTTTTAAAAACTCCAATTTCTTTAATAGAATTTTATTTAAGTACAATCCAATTATTGTTGCGGGTCATGTTTGATACCCGACTGGTTGTCAACTTGCCATTTGATTATTTACTTAATTTGGTGTCAAAAAAAACTTATCCACTCATTTGTTCATACGGGGACTCACACCTTTATCTTCTACGACAAATCTTCTTCTATGAACATAGATCATATTTTGTCTAATTTGGAATGCACTTTATAAAATATTGAAATATTTGCTAAACATTCCAATATTTTTGTAAGATATATCCCAAATTAGACAATAAGAACTATTGTTCCACTAAAGAGAATTGGAATCCTATATCTCCTGAGAGATAGAGGAGACCTCTCTCTCTCTCTCTCTCTGGTAACTTCTTTTTTGGTGACAAAAACCAAAATGTCTACTCTACTCTCGCCTTCACAAATTGTTTAGTACGAAACTCATACTTGAACCTCCTCTTGTTCACTACGAAACTCATACTCAAACCTCCTCTTCAAGGGAGGATCGCTTTCACAAATTGTTCATTACAAAACTCAAACTCGAGCCTCCTCTTCAAAAAGATTAAGGGAAAGAAGTTATACCATTGTGCTAATGGCTTATTGATTACTCTCATTGCTTTGGTTATTTCTTTATTTTTTATTTTTTTATTTTATTGTTGCGTATATTTGAAGGAAAACCCGAATCTAGCCTCTCACGTCTGTAATTTCATCCTTCATCATCTGGTGCACTAATAATTTAGCAGTATAAGACACTATATTACAATGCACAACGTTGAAACTCATGCAACACATTTATATCTAAGATGCAAACAAGTATAATATGTTTACAAAGATTTCCCATTCTTCTTTTTTGCAACAATTTTAAAAAAAAAATTTCCCCACATTGTACATAACATTCACCTTAGTTTAAGTCAAAATTATATTGAAGTTGTAGTTCAGGACCTCAAGTGTACAGGACTTTCATGAAATTCCATCAGAACCATACCTCCCTCACAATGTGCCTGCTGTGGAATGACTTTTCAAATGCTATTTTTGGCTTTTTGGACATGGAAGCTAAATTACATTAGCAGTTAACTAAATCCATGATCATTTCTAACTAAATGAGATCAACTTACACAGATTGTCATAGAGCAACAAAGAGGTATAATGAGGCACAAGGAAAACAAACCAAACATTACGAAAGCATGTGCATATGAAAACACACACACTAGTTTTATTGATAGTACAATTTTGAAATTTTCTGTAACACAACTACTTGGGAAATTATCTCATGTATCATCTCAATAGTCAAACGTTTTCCAATTTTAATCTTGAGTAGATCTCAAAGTTCTTCAAAAATAAAAGGGTGTGAAACTAAAGATATGAATTAACCTGGGTAGCCTTTTTTTGCTCCAACACGTGTTTCAATTTTAACTATCAGGGTGGGGTAAATAACGAACTCGCATCCCCCCCCCCCCCCCCCCCAACCATCTCCTATGAAACCCTGCAATACCCACTATACCAATATCTTGCCCACTGCTCCACATGTTTTCGGTAGGTAAAGTAACTTCATTGACCGAAAAAATTAAAAAGGACAAAATAAGTTGCCAAAAAGGCCTACATTATTGAACTCACAGCAGGAGAAAAAAGAAAATCAAGCAAAACACCACTCACAACCTAGACAGATAGACAAAACAAGCAAAGCCACAAGAAACAAGGACTCTCAAGACTAACTACGCCATTTATCACAATGGCTAGGATGGATCCTCCTATTATCATGAAAGTGGATGCGTGATTACAACGATAGGAGTACACACCACTAGGCAAGGTAGCATTGACTTGGATTACCTTGAGCTTACTAAAGGAATCCAAATCTATAACCTCATCCATCTTTGCCATAGCCAAATCAAGGTCTCCAAATGTGCTACCACTTCCCCTTGGAGTTTCTTTAATAAAGTTGGTCATCCCCTTTTTTTCAGTGTCTTGCATTTTATATCAATAGCATTTGTTTCCGTCAAGTTATGTCGAATGAGGATTATCAATGGATATGCATTGCAAACATGAACAACAACGCAAATAATAATAATAATAATAATCCATTCTCATCATAGTAATTGGATCTAACTAACGCAAGTAATCTTTTACTGCTTTCATACTTTTATGTGAAATGAAAAGCATACAACAAATCATCAATCCAGAAATATGTGAATCAAATTGCAACATGCCAAAACATTGAAAGGTAAAAAGGAACTTCACCTAAACAATGTAAAGCAAATATATTAGGCATCACCGCATTAACACAATGGCTATGCCATTGTCATAGTGTGATTTTGATGTATCATTATCCTTGTAGAAAATAATTGCTGCTGCGAGGTTTCACATTGCTAATTTGGAGATTGTGTTAGCCTGGTCTATGTACATTGATGCGTTTTAGTGAATAAAAACTAGTATGGTGTTATAGAACAATTCAGATTCAATAATAAAAGGATAATAAAGTATCTAGATTCAACATACCATTGTATCCCAAATATTATAAGGCTAATTGACGCATCCATAATTTACAAGAACAGTGAACATAAACTAGACCAGAAATTTTAATTTCATTCGTGTAAACTAAAAGGAGAAAACAGATAACATGCATATTTTTTATTCAATACCTCCTAATGCAGATGTATAATTCTTCAGTAATGTGATCGCGGACGACTGTCAATGAGGCAACTCTAGTTCTGATGTCTGCCGCTTCTTTTTCTTGCTTTCGTGAAACTCTCCGTAGAAGTAGGAGAGAAAACCCCAGAGCGACAAAGCGAGAGAGAGCCCTTTTTCAATTTGAAATCTCTCATGGTAGAACAAAACGGCCAACGACTCTGTCACCGGCAGGAGAGTAGCAATTATAATACCGGAGAGCAATGACGAAGCACAGAAAATGACTCCAATTGCACCCATGAAGAAGAATTGCCAAAATATTGCAGTCGCCACAAGAATCACATAGTATGTCGTTGGCCCAAACTCATACTCTCTTGCCTCTCCAGGAATTGCCTACAGTAGTGAGTGAAAAAAATAAAGATCAAACAAAAATGTCACATGACAATTAATGAGCTGAGAAATCATGCCCATTCTTCTCCTGTTAATATATATATATATATATATATATATATATATATATATATATATATAAGGAGTGGGAGAGAGAAACCGTGAAGTCGTGGTTCAAAAGCATCCCGATGGTGCAGAAAGCAGTAGCAAAAAAGGATATAATCATCTGCATCTCCATGACAAGAGAATAAGTGATGACCTGCTTGGATTTCATGTAAGTCAACTCAACCAGTGGTAGAACAAACCCATATAATGCTGATGATCCAAGTGTCATAAAGAATCCCACAAAATACTGCTTATTGGATTCATGAGCTGGGCGATCCGTTTTTGTATGAAATGCTAGCACTACTGCTCCAACAGACGATAAAAACACCGCATTGATGGTAAAAACAGTGAACTTTTGCTTGACCAGGAGAAAGGCAAAACCGGCTGTAAAGCCCAACTGGGTGGCAAATATAAGAGCTGAGGTGGAGATGGGGAGAAGGGAAACACCATAGGCATTCAGATAATCATCTAAACCGGTGAGAATGCCGATAATGGCACAAGCAAGAAAGAGGACAGGTGAAATAAAGAAGAGCTTAGTCCCAGGGCCTTCCTTGTTATGACGGTACACATATGAAACTATGATTGGAAGTAAGACGAACGGCCAACCACCAGTTTCTAACCAGCTTGAAAGCCAAATGCTCTTTCCGCCTTTCAAAAAGTAAAAACGCATCAAAAGTGGAGCACCGCAGTTGCCTAGAGCTAACAATGTGCAGTTCAACACGAGTAGGTATTTCTTCACTGCTTTCCTCTTATTCTCATCTTTATATGGCACTTGATTGTTCGTAATCTGAGTCTCCATCTGTTTAAAGACTAGTTAGTATGTGCTCTTGCAAGAACTGCAGTTCAACCAATGATCAAATCTGGACAAAATGGGAAAATTGAGTATATTTTAGTGTTTGGGTGTGGGATGAAAATTGAATCAAATAGCATTCAGAAACACATTATAAAATAAGCCTTGTTGTAAGCAAGCATTAAGAGAGACATTAGTACTCAGTTATGCACAAACAAAAATAAAATAAATAAAATGGATTCATTTCCAAACCTAAATAAGCATTAGTGAATAAAACTATTCAGGAAAAAAAAAAAAAATTTCCAAGAGACGTCTAAATTTTCATTGCAAATTCAAATTTTTTCAAGGACTACTCTTTATTTGCTAGTCAGTTGTTCAACACATCCCAACGGTTCAAAATATTAATCTGGAATAACGCATTCATTCACACCATGTTTATATCTTTATTGACTTTTCTTGGGGCTGAAGATATTGGGAGCCATGATATGAAAATCATATCAATCAGTTTTGGTGAAATGATTTTCCAATTGAACCTATTTTTTAAAGCATTTGTGCAATTCAACCAACTATTTTGAGCACTTGTACATTATATGATCATCTTAATGGACTTATGAAATAAATTATCATTTTTGCAGTATGTAGGTATGCAACAGCAAGTTGTTTTTATTTCATTTTGTAGAAAATGCTCAAAATATTATAGATTAAGGAAATTTTGAACATTCCAGGAAATTGAATCAACCAATTATGTTTCTTAGCACTACAATATGAAGTTATTACTATAATGGAAAAATTAGATAGAAATTAGATCATTTATTAAATACCCTAATATGCCTTTATTAGGGGCAAGTATCATGCAAGTAAACAGTCATCATAAATTAGTTAGTACATACAAATTCAATGGACATGCAAATGCATCACACAAGTATCCAACTCTTTTGAGTGGCACATAGTTCTCTAATCCCAAATCCAAAGCACCGTGCTCCCAAACGAAACAATAGTAGTCTTAGTTATGATTACATTATTTCGATTGGATCCATTAGGAAAGAAATTGTCATCTCACATATTCAACTCAAATCCATTATAAACTTTTTTTATTGGAAATATAAATCAATTTTAAACTGCTATCTCAAAAACTCTGGTAAAAATTTTACGAAAAAAATTTGAAACGTTCAACATTCTTAAACAGTCTCATTCAATATACTGATATTTCATGTTAAATGCTATGGAAAAAGCAAAGAGACCACAAGACACCCTTGAAGGATGACCAATAAACAGTTATTAATCTCAATACATGTATGAACTGAATAGAAACCCAATACTCTTCCACCTAATAAAACAGTTATGTTAGGTTTAAGAATACCGAATTGGCACTTTAGAATTGAAAATTGGAGAAAAATTAGTTGAAACTTTGAGCTAATTTTTTTCCTAACTCCAATTCTGAAGTGTCCGATAATCGATTCAGTGCTCCCAAACATAGCATTACTGTAAACTAGAATAGAACTAACCCAAGTGTCTTCAATCCAATAAAACAGTTAAAAAGTGTAAAAGAACATTGTCTGGTTTGAGCAAAACAACAAACAGACAGGGTATAATAAATTTACAGTTGAAATGCAATTATAGATGTATCAATTACAGAGTTTACCTCTTTAAAGGACTCACTGCACAAAAGTTAATCAATACCACTTGATTAATTTCCACAAACCCATCAAACACAAAACACTTCAGACTCTATACAGCTTTCAAGCTAAAAAAATAAGGAAAATTCATGAAAAAAATAAAAAAAAAAATGGGCAAAGAGAATAAAAATCAAAGAGAGTGAGAGAAAAAAAGACAAACCAGTGTGGACGAGACCCACGAGTAGTGCGAAAGAGATTCAACGAGAAAATCCCAGAAATGTATCATGACTTTGCGAAGAAAGGGTCAAATATGAAAGACCCTTCAGTCATTTTATGTGACACGTTCTCGTCATGCAAACGGAGACCGCTTTGAGTGGTGTCAACGTTGCTGATAACAAAGAGCCACATGCAATGCAGTAAATTAAAATTACACACACCTCGGTTTTTAAAAATATTAAAAGCCACCTGGGTTTTTTAATCGAGGTTATGACAGTCAAGAATATGTTAGTGTGTTCGGTACACCGAGCTATCAGAATAGTGCATGTCACTCTTATTTAATAAAAAAATTATAAATATTATTTCCTCTGTCTTAAAAAAGATATCTTGTTTGAGAAACCTTGACTTAATGATACTTTAATACTTTTTTTGTCTAAAAAAAATGTCAAGTTTGAGAAATCGTAACTTACAAGTGAGTACTAAAATGAGTTACGATTTTTCAAACAGAATATCCTTTTTAGGACAGAAAGAATATTAAAATATCAATATTAAATATTATGAATATTATTTAAGTATTATTATTATTATTATTATTATTATGTTGATGATATAAAAAGTTACAAAGTTATAAGTCTATAAAAAGAGATTTCTACCATTAATATATGACACTTTTCGAGTGATATGAATGTGAGACACTTTGGGGGTGAGAATTTGTAAGACTCTGATACAAAATTAATTTTATTAGTATAATTTAATTTTAATTAAATATAATTTATTGAATATTTTATAAAGCTGGTGGTATTGTGAAATTAATGGTGGGTGCCAAAACTTATTAAATTGGTGGCAATTAATAGTAAAATAAATAAATAAATAAGAATAATAATATTGTTATAGAAATCACCGCAAAACCAAAATGAAGTGTATATGCACAAACTAGTGCTGGACGCTTCCAAAAGAATTATCGTCATATTATATAATATATATTCAAGTTTCTTTTGGAATTTATTATTATTTAACTTAGTGGGACAAGTGTCAAACATTAACACTACCTATCATTCTCATGATATAACTATATTCGTCCAGCGCACCTCATCAAAGTACTTAGACAAGTACTGGTATACAGGCGGATAGTATGTGATTTAAAGTTTCTTTTAGAAGCTTTGTTAGATTAAGTCATGCAGGTGGGTGGCCAGCACTAACACACACAACACGTGTGTGTGTGTGTCTATATATATATATATATATTGTAATGATAAGAAAGAATAACAGTGCAGCTTTTTATCCTCCAAAAGTCTTATTTTTATTAAGGATATATATACAAATGTGATGAGTAATGGGACACGTGTTGAAATGGTGGAATGTAAGCTGTGTTTGTAAGTCTAGTTGATGATGAATTTTTAATATGCATTTTAATACTCCCTCCTACTCATAAAAACGTATCACTTTTAAAGAACTGTGACTCTCACAAATTAAACTGACATAGTTCTCCATTAAAGATACTTTTTTTAGGACGAAAGTAGTATAATATAAGCATATTAAAGCTTATCCAGGAAGCTTATTTTAAGGAGGTGAGAGCATACACTTTCATATATCAGAGTAAGCTGGACCAGTAAAGAGAATATGAAGAGGGAAAAGAGTGAGAAAGGAAAAGAGAAAAGGGAGAAAGGAAACGAAACTATTGTTAGGCTGTTCGTACGGTAATAGTGAGGTGGGGAAATTTATATTTTTAATTCTATATTAGAAGTTTCTTATTTAAATTTCAGTTCAAGTAATTATTCTTACATATATTTCATTTATTCTACTCTTAATTATTTGTTTCAATTGTTGTCTCGTATGAATTAATATAATTGTAATTTAACTCAAGTCCATTAGGTGAGATTTAATTTAAATATTTATTATTAGAAATTTTGACTACAATTGCAAAGTATTTGAGATTTATCATGGAGGTGATGAGTATTATTTATTTCTCTTCAGAAATGAGTATAACATGATTATAATTTTGTTTAGGCAAGGAGAAGGAGCAGACAACTTCGACATTACTAAATGATAAGTAAATAATTTGAGAAGTAGTCAAGGTGGGTGTACTCACTAGAAGTTTTACACTTGAATGTGTTAATTGAAGTATTGAAGATGTTTATATGAAATAAAGATGATTATATAGCTTGACTATATTAAATAAGGTCCATATTTTGGCTTAGAAGGAGAGTAATATATTATATAAGATCCATACTCTAGCCTGGAAGGAGAATATTATATTAAATAAGATCTATATTCTGGCCAAGAAGAAGAGTACTATATTATATAAGGTCCATACTTTGACTAAAAAGGAGAATACTATATTATATAAGGTCCATACTCTGCCCTGGAAGGAAAGTAATATATTATATAAAGTCCATACTCTGGTCTGGAAGGAAAGTATTATATTTTAATGCCTGTAAAGCTGGAAGTTATATGTTAATGAAGTTTAATTGAAGTTATCAGATAATATTTGTTTATATTACTCTGATGTAGTAGTGTTGCATTCACTGGACTTTAAGCTCACTCCTTCTATATCTATATTTTTCAGGTACAAGGTTGGGTTGTTACTGTCAGGTTTAGAGTCTTGAGTATGAATGGGGAAAAGAATAATGGAACTTTTTTTGTATAAAATGTAAATATTGTAGTAGAATTTAATAGTATAACTTATAATTAACGGTTTAGTTAATTTTATTGGAACTTGAAGAATGGACTTATAGTTTGTTTTTAATTATAAACTGTTAAGCAGGCAGTATGATGTATGATGACGTTATGTATGTATGAGGTTAATGCAAATGGTTAGACACATTCCAATTATTAATTTATTAAATATTGTAAATTGGGTTGGAGTGTGTCAGAATTGTGTAAGGCTGAGCATATTCTTTCTAGTAAAGTTATATCTCTTATCTCTTTTTTCGTTGAGTTTATGAGAGTATATTTTATTAGAACAATACTTAGGTCCTCACTAGTGAGGATCTACACCATCCTCACTAGTGATGTGGACCAATAATAAATCACCATCTTTGTGATTTGATAAGTGAGTATTTACTCATCATATTAAATTTAGTAATTAAATATGATATATATATTTATTATTGGTTCACATCACTAGTGAGGATGGTGTAGATCCTCACTAGTGAGGACCTAAGCATTGCTCATATATGTTTAGGGCAATTTTGAAGATAATATTAGTACAACTTTGTCTCTCTTTGGACGTGTTTGGAGAAGACCATCGACGAATATGGGTTGTATCATGGAGTCGTATTGAACCGCTATCACCTGCACCTAAGGAGGTCATACGACTTTAGTACAATGCTCGCATGCCTCTCATTATCCAGACTAATTCTTTCTAATTTATTTTATTATTCTCTTTCTTCCTTATATTATTTTATCATATAATTTCTTTTTATTGTTGTGATAATAATGTTGTTTATTTCGTTATTCTTATACTACATAATAATTCTATGACCTATTGTTATGTTCATGCTATCCAAATTGATGTATTATTCATTTCAATAAAAGTATTATGATTTTATATTCTTATATTATTCATTGATGTATTAAATATATAGTATGACTTGTGTTATATATGAATAAAATTCAATGTGCTATTTTTAGTGTCTTGGAATTTACGTGCAATTTCCCAACAGTGCATGTGTCCGGGCCGTATAAGTAATATAAAAATAAATTTTAAAATTATAGTTACTTTCTTTTTAAAATTTTATATAAATAATAGTTTTCAACTCTAAACTGTGTGTCAGAAAACATGTTAATAACTTTTAAAATTTTAGTTAACAAACTATGTGAACTTACAAGAGGCCGGCTGAAATATTTTAACAATGATTTTTATTTATGGACAAAAGTTGCCTACTCAAAGTGAGTAAGCATTTATATTAATAGTTAATGTAGTTCAATCACAAATGTATATATAATTTATAATAGGATTAATTAGAACGAAACCCCCTGAGGTTTGCCATATTGACATACATATACAACTTAGCCCTTTTTTAGACAAAGATACCCCCTAAAGTTGCAAACTTGATCAATGACACCCCAAACATGATGAAAGTACATGTTTACCTTTTGATCACATAAAATGATCAAATTACCCTCATCCAAAAAATCCTTTCTTCTTCAAATTTTTCGATTTTCCCTTTTATTTCAGCCAATATACACAACCATTACTCACCCGGCACCACCACTCACCACCACCGCAACCTCCACAACCACCATCTTCTTCCCCGTTCCACCACCATCATTCAAACTCATCACCTCAAAATTAGACACATGTATCTATGGCCGAGCCATCCAAACCCATATAAATCACACAAACCCAACACATATAAATCACACAAATCTAACACACATAGATCACACCATCAAAAAAAAAAAAAAAAACACAGAAATCGCCTCAAAAGGGGATCTCGTGGCAAGCAAGGAGAAGCCCTCACCAGCCGCCGCGAGTCCTCCACGGGTGAGCCATCCATAGTCAATCCAACTCCTAACTTACCTCACCCACCTCCGCCTCTTAGCCACTGCTTTCTGCATCGACAACACCACCGACGTTTGCCACCTCTCCCTCAATCAATACCCAACACACCAACCCTGCTCACAAATCCAAGATCCTCCTCAACCTTCTCCGATCTCTGCCGTCCATCGCTGCCACCACCTATCTCACTCCTTGTCGCCGTTGATATTCTCTACCGAGTTGAGCAAACAACAAAGATAACTTCTCTGCCGATTGCAGGCCCCTCTCTACCACCACCAATCTCTCTCTCACTGCAATTTTAATCTGCCGCGGGCAATTAAACAAAATTTTTTGGTGACCCATCTCAGTTTTATGTAGTTCCTGATCTGACAACTCCAATGGAAACACCATCATCAACAAGAAGGATCACCAGATCACAAGCCTCTGTGTGTGAGATAGAGAGAAAATTTGGTTTTGATACGAGTTGGGGGTTTGAGGGTGTGGAAGAAGATAAGGGCGATTGAGCAGTTTGTGTGTGTGTGTGTGTGTGTGTGTGTGTGTGAGAGAGAGAGAGAGAGAGAGAGAAAGAGAAAGAGAGAGATGAAATGAGATGAGATGATAATTTGGTCATTTTAGGTGACGATTAAAATATTCTTAGGGCATATTAGACATTTCATGCAACTTAAGGCTGTGTTGGCTCTGTTTTTTTAAAATGGAGTGTCATTGTTCAAGTTTGCAACGTACCTTAGGGGGTGTCTTTGTTCAAAAAAGGACTAAGTTGTATATGGCCGCCAATATGGCAAACCTCAGGGAGTGTCCTTGTAATTAACTCTTTATAATAGTATATATATTTTTATTTTATCACTAATATATTTTAGGAAAAATTATACATAGGTAAAGTTAGTACTAATAACAAATTGATCAGTTTTAAAAGTTAATTTTCTATTTTGATTGGATTAAGTAAAATAATTACAAATACATCAATATTTATTGCTCACGTCCAAAATATTCTCACACTCTTTTTTCAAAATACCAAAATATCCTCCTTAAAATTATATAATTTTAATATAATAAAATAGGTAATTAAAAATTAGTTTGACTAGCGAATAATAATTCAAGGCACCACCCACCTCGTATGTCTTCTAGGTCCCCCTCTGTCTCTCTCTTCACACAATATAAATACGTAATCATTTTTGTTTAGGAATTTCAGATCTATAACTCTGTAGGCTTTAGAAGTATGTTATACCTTATGAATTTAGGATTCTTGTAGAGGGTTATCAATTTGGCATCTCAAAATTTGTTGTGATTTTTTGTAATTGATTGAAGAATGAAACAAACAACAACTAGAGGCCTCTGGACAACAAAAAAGAAAGGCAGATGCATATTCCAATACTTCATTACCCTACTGTACAACAGGAAATGAGATCCTTAATAAATCCCATTATAGTTTTGACATCTTCTAATATATTAACAATAATAATAAATTCATTTAGGTAATAATTGAAAAATCTTCTGCATCATATATCATCACTGCCATAGTAAGCTTGTGAAGATTCCCTTTTCAATTCTTACCATCAATTTCATATCCGATGGACGACGAAGAGAAGAGATGGAGAAATTTTATTTGCTAGTTAAACTAATTCTTAATTATTTGTTTTAATATTTGAAATTAGATAATCTTAAGGAGGATATTTTTATATTTTGTAATAAGAGTGTGAGGACATTTTGGACCTTAGCAATAATTCTTGATGCATTTGTAATTATTTTTTTTAATTCAATCAATGTGAAAAATTAACTTTTAAAATTGATTCATTTGTTATTAAAAACTCCTAATCACTTATATGTAGTTTTCCCTATATTTTAAATATATTTTTTTTTTCACTTGTTGATTATTCGTCCTATCTATTCTAGTCAATTGTGCCATTCATTTCAGCATTCTCATTTGAATTACGCCAATGTGTTTTTTTTTTAATGTCAACATTCCGAAGATTATTATTCCTACTTCTTATGAAGAAAGATATATAAAATATTTTTCTTAAAAAAAATAAAATAAAGAATATTTTTTTCTCAAATGGAGAACTTGATCCTTAATTGATAACCTCTCTCTAATATATATATATATATATATCTATATATAAAATATTAAAAAAAATTCTTTTTATTAGTAACTAAAGCAACTTTGTTGCAATAGTATACCTTTTCTTTTATTATTATTATTATTATTATTTTGACAAAAAAAATTATATGCCTATGTCACCTTGAACAATAGATTGCTTCCTCTCATTTTTTGCTTTTACCATATCAATTTTTTTCCTATGTGTATTTAAAGAGAAATTATTACATATTAAATTTTTTCCTATACGTATTTAAAGAGAAATTATTACATAATTTCTGAACTATTGATCCGAGCCAATCACCATCTCACACTCTGGATGAAAGAAAGGGTCAGTCGTCATTGAGTCTCACTGACGCAGAAGGCTAATATAATATATTTCATGTTAACACTATCTTTCTTTCTCTTCAATTGTAAGAAAATATAAAGCCATAATGGAGTGTCATGTACCTACTCGGCTTCTTTTGATTCGTCTTTTTAACTTCAGCAGATTAAAGAACAAAGTGAGTAGTTCATTCATGTACCTCTTCGGCATCTTTTGATTTGTCTTTTTAACTTCGGCAGATTAAAGAACAAAGTAAGTACTTCATTGTGAATTTTACGAGCAGAGCAGAAATTATTACATGGTCTCGAACCAATCATTCAACAGATAATTTAAAACTGACACAAAGCAAACGCATTAGGGCACGAAATTCCATCTGAACCATACTTCTCAAATGAAAAGACGTTAGGCTTACATTTGCAGTTAATTCAATCCACGACCATTTCTAACTAAAAATACATCAACTTGCTCGGATAACATGAACTGTAATTCGTAACTCATACAAATGCAAAAGGAATATTAACAAACTAGAAAAAAGAAGAGGTATAATCTATCTGTTGCTATGTGCATTTCAGAAATGAAAGATGGGATTCTGGAAAAGCTAAATTAAGCAGGCTTCTCGTATGAATTCCGGTTTCTGAAATCTGCAACCACGTTTTGTATCATTTCACCCACATGGGGCTGCACGAACAAGTGAGTGTTATCCAAGACATCTATGATGAACTTCTGTGGTTTGGGAAGCATATTGTTCAAGTAGATGATAAACTGTGCCATGGGTATGTCACTGCAAGAAAGTATGAACAGATTGTCAGAGTAACAAAGAGGAGGAATAGGGCAGTCGAAAAACAAATAAACATGACAAAAGCTTGTGCATATGAACACACACACACACACACACACTAGTTTCATTGACAAGTCCAATTCTGGAATTTTTTTTGTAATACATCTAATTGGGAAACTTTTTATCTCCTGTATCATCTGAATAGTCGAACTTTTTCCAATTTTAACCTTCCTTGAATAGATCTGAAGTTCTTCAAAAACAACGTTTCAAGCTACAAACAAACAAGCAAATTGTTCAACGAGAAAAGAGCAAGTTATTACAGGGATGCCACAGTATGAGTGCTCTCTCAACACAATGCCAAAGCAAGAGTGTCCTCGTGAGAGACTTGCTCTTCTCTTAAATTAAACCTACATAACCCCCATCCCCGCAATGAGAAAAGAGCAAGTTATTAACTAATAATATTAAAGAAACATACCAAATAGATAATTAGTAGACGAGAATGTCAAAACTGACTTCAAAAGTTGTAATTTAAAAATTACCATGAAATAAAGAGTCCTTTGGTGAAGTTGTCCATGATGTAGCAGCAACTTAAAACGTTTGAACTGCAACAGTAATCAATTTAAGGGATGAGAGCAGCATAAAACAGTTATTACTAACCAAAATAAAAGGGTGTGAAACTAAAGCATTGAATGAAGCTAAACCATTGTGTGAATATGAGAAATTAATGTGAGGCATATAAACAGACAATCTTTTTCTATCAACCCAAAGCCTGCACTTTCACCCACATACACAACCTCCATGATGGCTAAAACTCACAATCTCACACCACACAAAAACACGCACTAACAAATCCTCGCAACTTGCATCAAAAGTAGCCACCACCATCTAAATCCATACCTACCCCCTCACAACCATCTCCTGTGAAACCCTGAAATACCCACTGTACCAATATCTTGCTCACTACTAAAAAAAAAATTGGTAGGTAAAACAAATTCATTAACGAAAAATATATATATATTTTTTAAAAAGACGCAATAAGTGTCCAAACAAGCCCAAATTATAGCACTCACAACAGGAGGGGAAAAATCAAGCAAAATACCACTCACAACCTGGACAGAGAGACCAAACAAGCAAAGCCGATGGATCTTCCTATTATAATGAAAAGTGGATGCTTGGTTACAAACATAGGAGTACACACCACTAGGCAATGTGCATTAACTTGGATTTCCTTGAGATTACTCCAGGAATTAAATTCTCTCTCCATTCTGCCTTCTACATGTGCTATGGCCAAAGACCTTACAATATCACTTCTTTTAGATTTTTTACAGTACTTGAACTCTATTGGATCTCTAGGCTATATGGCTTCTGGCAGCCATTGGCTCATTCAATCTAATAGGTTTACCAATGGCACTAGTATTTCGACTTAGGCCCTTTTTGAGTACAACATTCTCAAGGCTCGTTAAAGAATTTATTATAGGTTCCCATTATCTTAAAGACAATTAATTTTCCTACAATTGCCATAGATCACTTTGAAGAACAGTTTCTTTAGCTTGCACACTGTCAGACTTGAAAGAAAGCTGTCAATCTCATCACCGCTTACAACACTGCCACCAATGTAAATCTCATCACACTGGAATCAACTAAATTATTGTTTCCTGCGGATATGATGCAAAAGATTGCAAAGCAAATAAATTAACAGAGAGGCTATAAGATTAAAACATGAAAGAGAGACTGCTGATACATTGTGGCTGGATGAAAAATTGAACACAACAACCTCGCATAAGCAGGGAATCTCTATACATACACCACCTCCCAAATTGTTGAATTTACCTCCCTTTTGACAGGTTTTGAGTGATACAAGACAACAGAGTTTTCAATCAGGAAAGATTTATATTTAAGATTAGCTTTGAGCCTCTATCATCTTCTTTTCCTTATTCTTTAATTAGTTAACTGATTGACACGTCATGGGAAATTTCCAATGGTGCATGTTTGCAGCACATGAAGTCAGTCTAGATAAGGCAAGGAGAATAAATAGAAGGTTAGACTCCGTTTGTTTGGATATAAAATATTATTTTATTTTCTGGTGTTTGGTTGTCGTAAAATATTTACAAAGAAAAAGTATGTTAAACTCTAACAAAAAAAACTTAACTATCATTTTTCGGCAAGTTATTTTACAAGCCCCGCCCGATGGACTTGACCTAAACCTTTGCCAGACACCGAAAATATATATATATATATATATATATATATATATATATATATATATTCCCTAAAAAAGAAAATAAGAAAATATCTTCAGTCGAAACAAACGGAGCCTTAATATAAAGTTAGAATTATACAAAGATGCTTCATAATGAAGAGGCTATGCATTGACCATTTGTGAAAAGAGAACATAGTAATCCACAAGCAAAGACAATGGAAAAAGTCAAGAAAGGCATGCCTGCCAAAGATACCCTAATGGACTCAATCCCAGTATGTTAGATTAATCTAATTAAGATCATAGGAATCAGCAAATTATCAGGATAAGTCCGAAAAGGCCCTTAATAGAGAATGATATACACACTTAATACATATATTTAAAATATCTAAACAGTCGGCATGTGAGTGACTAAAAAAAAGTCTGCTGGTAGATAAGATTAATCATCTGCTAGTGTGCAATTTAAAAATGCCACTATGTATTTTATTACTCTTTAACATGTGTACCTGTTTGGAGCTCAAGAAGTGTGCAAAGAGAATACAAAAAACCTCATGATAACTGCTTAGAGGATTCTGCCCATACACCCTCATCTCAGTTGTGACTCCCCGCTCTGATTCGAAGCCAGAACAACATAATGGAAACTCGCCCACCCACAATGTTATCAAAGGGGCGCGCGCCTTTGACAACACTTGAGCTTTTAATATGGAATATGACTTCTTTCATAGTAAATTAATTTTTCAATTGTGTCACTCACCTTGCGCCTCATGCCCGAACCCCAAAGGAGCTCTAGCACCTTGGACCTTTGATAACACTGCCCACCCATTCGCCATCTCTGTTACATTCTCTGGAGAAAACCAGACTCAGCTCAGTACTCACCACCCCCAATTAATCACCCAAAAAAATTTATAACAATTTATTTATATTTAAGAAGAGGGGAAAAAAATACAGAATACATACACGCTTTTCGTATTGCTTGGTAAATAAACCCCCCTCCCCAACGAATTAATACATCCAACTCAGGCAACTAAGAACGCAGATGAGTTAACTCGGAAGAGTCAACCCGGATCAAAATCAATAGTACCAATCTCAAGCTATTGCTATGATCCCAACTCTCAAGCCATTGTTTCAATTCAATTCTCACCAAGTAGCTATGAATTTTAAGATGCTATTATAGAATTCTTCAATCACACACTAAAGTAGTTCATAACTTCAAACAAACAGTCAATTAGTTAAAAATAAATTACCAAATATATACACACATATATAAATGTATAACCTAGTGCACATACAATCAGAGAGCTGTTACTCAGAATGACCAACAACAAAATCCATAATTTACATATAATCCATAAACCCTAAATTGAAGTTTTGACAGAACAAGCAGATAACTAGTTCAAGGTCTAGAGTATAAAAACCCTAAACGATATGAAAAATTCAAGTGAAAAAATGCATAGCTTGAGAGAGAACTTTACCAGAAAGATTTGAACACGGAGAGAAGGGTCGTTGATCGTCCGAATGATCGAAGTCAGATAACGAAACCCTAGAAAGAATCAAATACAGAAACACGTATAGAGCACGTAGATGAGACGAATAGGACTCTCTCTCAATCCTAATCCAATTTAATCCATTTTCTTTTTTCCTTTTTTCTTTTTTGGCCTTTTTCGTTCATTGAATTATTTTTTTCTTTTTTCTTTTTTCTTTTTTTCTTTTTGTTTTCCCTGTTCATTGAACACATTTTTTAAAGTTCAAATTCAGATTAAGAAATCTAAATCCAGATTAGCTTTGGATGGAACTGATACGAAGGTAAATGGTTCATAAGTACGGATAGTATGTAAAATGGAGTTTTTTTTTTTTTTTTTTTTTTTCTAAAAATTATTTTTACATATACATATATACTATATATATATATACACACACACACACAATATATACACACTCTATTTGTGCTTTGATGATGAATTATGCAATATTTTTTCACTTATGAGTTTTGTTTATTATTATTATTATTTTAGCATTACACTTATTCAGTAAATAAAAACATAATTTATATTTATATTTCGCGCGCTTATTAGAATTTTATGTTATTTGTATTTTTTAAATAATTTTTTTTAATATTTTTTAAAATTACTTCCACTGAAATTTTGTGTTATTTGTATTTTTTATATATAAATTTTGATATTTTTAAAATTGTCCCCACTAAATTCCTAAAAAATTCACATAAGACTTAAGAAAAACTTTCAAAATTCGCAAAGAACCACTCATTTTTTAACTCATTTGACCAATAAGTTTTTTAAAATTCAAAAAAGACCCATATCTTTTTTCCTCCAATGAATCCTACTAAATTTTTAACAATCAAAATTACTCATTTGCTAATTATTATTTTGGTTCAATTTTTATTTTAATTTTTTTTAATGATAAACTCCTATAACATTGTTAAGAGTCATAATATTCAGAACTATTAGTTACACATATTTATTAATTTAAAATAATTAAAACCGCTAATAACGTGAATATCAAATGATTGCCCCCACTTAAAGTAAATTCCTAGTGGTCTCTTGAGTAAGCTCCAGGTAGACTTAATACTTTTTGCTGGTTTTTTAGTACAATGAAATTTTGAGGTAGAATATTCCTTCATGGCTGTCAATCTAAATCAAACCATTTTAATATGAAAGTTTCAACCCAAATTCAAATATTTGAGTACGGGTCGGTGCGGTTCGTGAGCTCGGACTCGGTTTGTGTTAGATTAGAATTCAAACCATTTGAGACTCCATGCTAGGAATACTACAATAAGTGATGTAAATCAGGAATGATGAGAAATCTTTCATATACTGAAATTGAAAAACAAGAGCAGTTTTTCCATAGCAAACTCATCCGATCACTCTAGTTTTTACACTTCATTTGTTAAAAGTCTGAATAATATTATCACGAGAGCTCTCTCATAACAAGAAACACAAACTCTCTTTATTTAATCACTGAATAGAGACTGTTTATTGAGACATGTAAAAAATCAAATAAATCAGTTAATTCATCATAAGGAGAGCTCATCATGAGATGACTCTCGTGATAACATTACTTTAAATGTTTTTCTAAACTAACTGTCAAGATTCAAGTACAATGGTTTAGATGGTATGGAGGATCAGTTCGAATCTTTTTCAGTGTACAAATGAAGGGTGAAAATCACTCACATCAGGTAAGAGTCCCACGCTGTTAGAGGTGAAAGAATAAAAATTATAGAGTTGTATTCAAAGAGTAAATGAAAAATTATTAAATGGCAGGGAAACATGTCATGTTATGTTTCCGCTTAATCATATTCTTTACCAACATCTTATATATTTGCTTGCGTTGTGAATTATGCAATAATTTTTAAAATTTTACCCTACATTGACCATTATAATAAGAATATTAATAGAAAATTTACAACAATTTTGAAAATAAACTATATTCTAGGAGTGATAAAAGGCATTCCACATATTGTTTCACATGACCCTAAAATCATGGAGACTATGGAGAATCTGAAGTGAATTTTAAATTTTGCTTGATGGGAGGAGGAGGACCCCACTATGGTTGTTCAATTAAACATTGTCAAGTCAAGCTTGGATGGTAGCTTTCATCGGGGGATTCAAAGCTTAATGAAACAATGGCATCTATCCTTTGCTACTTCCACTTGCAAATACCATGTGCTTTCCGCCAATCAGCACATGAACACAAAATGTTGTTGCAGGGAAAATCCCACTAGTTGCTCATAGGATCACCAAATTGACGTGGAATTTGAAAGTGTCTTGATCTCTATCCCATTCCAATGTCTCAATATTATGATCTGTATCCCATTTCAATGTCCCAGTATTATGCATCTGACAAAGATACTTCACCTTTTTTTAAGAGTTCATATAAAACAGATTGGTACACGGACAACTAGCGTGATAGATTGAAGGCTTGATAGATGGGAGAGGAGGCTCTTGGGAGTAGAACCAAATGCTTTGATCGGTGAGGAAGAAAAAAATTAGACGGAAGGGAAAAGAGAAATGATGGATGAGACATTTCTACTCGGACAACTATATACTATCATAATTACCACCACCACCACACCTAAATACCATAGGAGGAAAAAAATAAAAATAAAAATTTAAAAACAGTCATGGCACCTAAACGCTACTAGAATCACCACCGCAATAGAAAAAAATAAAAATAAAAATAAAAAATTTGAAACACCCTGATAACTTAGACACTACCGTAACCATCACAACAGGATAAAAAAAAAATTAAAAAAAAAAAACGGTCATACCCGAGATCGAGAAGAGAGAGAGAGAGAGGGAGTGTTAGCGCCTAGGTACTAAAAAAAAAAAAAAAAAAAAAAAAAAAAAAAAAAAAGTTAAAGAATAGGATAGAGAAAAAGGCTTAATAATGATAGTAGTTTTGTCAATTAATATGGATGAGATTTTGTAAATTAATTGAATTAAATAATTAGGGACAAATATGACATTCAAAACCATAAGGGATGTCATTCTTAAATAAGTCGTTCATCCACACATTGATCGAAAACTCAGGGGTGTCAATGTAATTTACCTTCTTTTTATTTCTCTTTTTCTTTTACAATGTAATTGGATGGAAATTTTTTACAATGTAATTGGATGCAAACTTTTTACAATGTGCCCCTAAATTGAAATTCTGGCTCCGCCCTGCACAAAGAACTTTGTAAAAACAGGATTCATACCCATATTACACACTTCCTATTTCGACGCAAGAGTAATTTGAATAGAGGATAATGGGCAAATTTTCAGTTTAATATGGTACCTCTTATCTAGGATCATCATAGCTTGAGGTCAATTATGGTTATGATTTTTTTAATTTATTTTTAAAGTAATTTTGGTTATGGTTCAACCACTAAGAAATGTAACAAACCAGAATGTTTCAGTGGTAGTTTGGTCATCTACCATGGAAGCCAAAGGTTGGATTGATGCCTTGCACTTTCTTCTATTTTTTTTTCAGGACCCTCTGATTCTCTGAATAAGATTAAAAAAATAGATCATAGACTTCAAAAGATTGAACAATTTGAGACAGTGACCATCACCAAGAAAAGACAGATTTTAATATGGTCCCAAAGCATTCTTCATATTGCTGTAACATCAAACCGCAAAAGCCCCTATTGCCTAAAAACTAAGCAAAATCTAATGAAATAAAATATATATCAAAAGTATTTACTAACTTTGATTTGATCCATGAACTTATATTGATCTCTCACTCTATTACCACAAATCTGCAGGTTTCATTGTACTAACATAAGATGAAAGCTAAACAAATAACTATATTAAAATTTTAAGACACCAGTGTGGGAATGCTAAACAAATAACAATGTTAAAATCTAAGTTACATGAAATGAGTGCGAGAATGCTAAACAAATAACTATGTTAAAATTTAAGTCACATGAAGTCGCAGCGAGTGCGAGTGTGAGACCGAGATTGTAACGACTGCAAAATCTAACGGGATTGTAATAACGGCAAAATCTAAATATTTAAATTACGGGATTGTAATAACGGCAAAATCTAAATATCTAAATAACACCCAAATAGCGTTGAACAACACCCTTTTAAAAGGATTACATGCCTTATGTTGAAACTAATAATGCATACTTGGCTCAAAAAAATCCCAACATAAACATAAACTTTGCTATCATCTGATATGACATTCCCCTCCAAACCTATACAGTATCTTGAATTTGAATCAACAGCTTCTAAACAAAAACCAAGCAATAAAAAACATAAAGGATCATTTCATAGAAACCAAACTGTTAATTACAATTTTTCTGTTTCTCTTTAGAAACCATGAAACTGTGACAAATTCAGACAAAACCATCATTGAGACTTTATATTTTTGGATCAGCCCCAATTTTTCCCTATCTTATCATACAGTCCATCATCATCAAAAGACTTTATTATAAAACCATATCATGTATTAAAAAAGAAACCTGTGGAAAGTGTAAACTCTCAGCTTGTTGAGAGTTTCAGAGAACCTGAAAATCAAATCAAAAACTTCATTAAGGAAGAACTAAGTTCCGGCTCCGGCTCCGACTCCGGCTCCGGTTGAATCTTGACAAAAAGACCTTCCCACTGCAGGACAGTGATCTCTTCATTGAAACAGGCCCGTTTTGCAATGATCTCCCAATTGAAGAACTACCCACTAATCTCAACAAGCTCTGATTCACATCAATTCTCTTTGGAACAAAACCCAAGTTTGATTCTTTCAATTTCACCAATTGGGTATTTGAATTCTCACCAGATTGTGTCGGAATACAGTTATTTACAGCAAAACTGATCATTGCAGCTGCTGAAGAATCCAAAGAAACTGATCTTCTCATTGGTTGAACCTCATCATCCACTTCCACACGATCACTAGATTCACTAGTGCCCACTTCTGCTTTTGAATTCTCATTCTCAACACTTTCTTCTTCAATCCCAATCCCAATTCTCAATTCACAAGTTGAATCTTCTCTATCCCTAACCGATTCACTGTCATCCTCTGGAATTCCCACATGGGTTTCTTCCAAAACCTCCGGGTGGTCGAGATTAGGCTCCGGCGAGGGCGTGACCGGTGCTGTTCGGACGATTCCCGCGCGGCACATCGGGCAATTGGTGTGTGAACCGAGCCAAGTGTCAATACAAGGTATGTGGAAGGCATGGTTGCACTTGGGCAAGAGCCTGAGGGTCTCGTCTTCCTCAAACTCACTCAAGCAAACAGAGCACTCTGTTCCTTCCACAAGTCCATCCCCTCTCTTGTACTTGCAGACCGTGATTGAATTGATGATCGACGGCTGGAGACCAACGGTCCTGATGTACCAGATGGGGTGGTCCACGAAGGGCCCATGATCTTCATCGAGAAAGTGATCGTGGGTCTCTTCCAGATCCGTCTCTGGATCTGATCTCCCTCTTCTCTCTGCTGATCTGTTGCTGTTCCGAGCTGTGTAGTACTTGTAGAAGGTGTAGGTGATGAAGAGAGAGAAAGTGGCGGCAAGGATGGCCAGTGAGAGGATGAGAGGGAGAGAGAGGGTGTGGTGTCTGTTTGGATTATCATCTGAAGTTGGTGGTGGTGGTGGTGGAATTAGAGACGGGAAGACACTGCGACAGATATCAGAACACAGAGCGAGACATCTTAATGGGGTACAATAATAATTATAATAGCCTTCATAGCCTGATTCTGCTCGATAGCAAGCACCTGTACACCGTAATTCTTCTATCTGATCGGTTACGTTGACAGAATCTGACATCAATTTTCTGTGATTGAAGAAGGCCATAGAGGGAGAGGCAGAGAGAGAAGATGGGTTGGTTTGGTTGGAGGGAGAGTCAGAGATGGGTTGCTTTGGTTAGAAGCAGAAAGGGAGAAGAAAAGTCAGCTTGTTTTTGTCATAGTTGGGTGCTTTGCTTTTAGAGAGAATAAAATTAAGCATCATGTGCTTTGGGTTTGACTATATGGAGAGGATAAAGGTTGGGTTTTTCTTTTATTTTATTTTTTACTATATTTGGATTTATTTAAAAATATTTTGAAATCAAATAATTCTATAAAATTGGAACTGTTTAACCTAAATCTAAATGTAAAACAAGTTAAACTAAAACGTGAAAAAATGGTTTGGGTTGGTTCGATTTTACGATTTTAGACTTTTTTATAATTTACTTGAATACAAATATATATTATATAGAATATAATTTTCTATTATATATTATGATAAATAATTGAGTGGTTCAGATATTTTATTATTTATAAAATACAAAATATATAATTTATATAAGGGTTTGGTTTGGTTTGACCTTATAGAATTCTAAATCGAACCTAATCTTAAAAAAAATCGAACCAAACTCATTGGTTCAATTTATTCTGATTTAATTTATTAGTTCAACTAATTTTTTTTGTATACAAGGAATTCGTGGGATGATTGATACGTCATTTTTCACCTACATTGAAAAAACTAAATAAAAATAGTTCCATTAGATTAGTTGGATTGTGGGACTGCTTATCAATTTTTTCTTTTTTCAACTTAACATTTTTTTTCTTTTAAAGTTCAATTAAGCCCATACACACTAACAACATTGTTCTTAATAGTGTGTGGACACTCAACCTCGCTTTGAAAAAAATAAATTATACCATTGGACCAATACCCCATTGGTCATTTGATTTATTGTTGTCTGTGGCCTACTACTCATGGTTCTGTTATTCCATGGTATTTAAAAGTAGAAAGCACTATAAGACTATACAATTGTGTTCAAAAACAGTATACTTTAGACTGCAAATTTTACCAACGAAAAACACTCATATAGTGTATATATATAGTGTATAATTTTTCTATACATTTTAGAAAGTCTATAACATTTAATTTTGGAGTAAATATAAACCTCAATGCTGAAAAGATTAAAGTGTTCTTCTAAAAAAAAAAAAAAGGGTAAAAAAATTAATTAAATATGAAATAACTAAATTGTCCCTCTTTTTATATATATAATATTGGGTTGAGGGCAAAAAATACACTTATAGTGTGCATATAAAGTATATAACCCCAATGCGTTCTAAAACCTCATTAACATTCAATTTTAATGTAAACAAGAATCAGAATACTGAAAAAACTAAAATGTCACTCTATAACTTAATAAAAAATAGGTAAATAAACTAATTAAATATGACAAATGTATATATATGTAAGAGCGTTATCGAAAGAGACAATGGTATTTTTGAAATTTTATATCATAAAAATGTCATGTGCATGATGAAACAATAATTTCAAACCTTTCTTTGCCATATTTTTTCAAACTTAAGGGACTTATATACTCAAAATAAAGGATATGGGTGTTATTTGCCAAAAATGTAAACATTAGGGTGTTTTTTTCACTTCGCCCTTATAAGGATATTATTGAAAGAGATAAGGGTATTTTTGTAATTTTATATCTTAATAGTGACTTCAAGCCCCTTTTTTTGCTCATTTTCCAAACTTAACAGCCTTATATACATAAAATAAGTCATTCTTTGCTGATTTTTTCAAACTTAATGGAGTTATATACCCAAAATAAAGAATAGGGATATTAAAATAAAAACGTTAAGGCTCCGTTTGTTTGGACATAAAATATTTTTTTTTATTTTTGGTGTTTGGTTATCGTAAAATATTTACGAAGAAAAAAAATATTAAAATTTAACAAAAATAACTTATCCATCAATTTTCAGTAAGTTATTTTACATGTTCCGTCCGATGAACTCGATCTCAATCTTGACGTAAACCTTTATCAAATACTGACAAAGTAAAAATAAAAAAATATTTTACCTGAGAAAGAAAAATATTTTCTAAAAAAAATATTTTTATGTCGAAACAAATGGAGCTTAAATGTGTTTTTCTCACTTTGCCCAATTTTAAGAGTAATAATGTAATTTACTCTAATAATCAAAATGCTATGTGAATCTCACATTTCTTTTGAAGGGTAGACTCTATATTAATTTAATATATATGTATGTATAAATAATTAAATAAAATTTAATCAGTGGAGGCAAATGCTCAATTCAACTTATGATATTTTTCTCTTTTTTTTTTCATTTTAAAAAAAAAATGAAAACTATATATGTTTTTTAATTTATAATTTTTCTATCATGATACTTCGTTGGGAATTAGGTTAAGTCACATCTCTTTTCTTGTTCTTGGTATCATTATCTAATAAAAACTCATTTGTACTATGAATTTGAGTGTGTGGTGTGAATGGCTTTTAGGGTTTCCGAATATTAGGTGCATTAATGTTTGGGGAGTAGGAAAATATTATTGGGTCAACAAAAACCAGCTCATGATTTAACATATTCTATTCTTTTTGTCTAAAGGGTCATAATCAAATCCTCTTTTAAGTTTTACTCAACTCACCACCCCCAGATAAGGACTTTGGATGGATGACACCACATTATACTATTTGCATATTTGAATGGAGATGATATTCCTAATTATAATTGACCAAATTATTTTTCATGAGTGGAGTTTAATTGTATTTTTTCTAATATTTGTGAAGTGCAATATATTTTTAGGGCTAGTTATGTTATTTTTTAAAATAAAAAATTAGCCATTTTTTTTTTAATATTTTATGTTTTTTTTAATAGTAATTTAGCCCTTTGCAAACTCATTTTTCTTCTCTTTTCCTTTTTTATTTATTTTTTATTTTTTATTTTTTGTTTCTTGCCCTTCAACATTTTGTGGTCAAGCTTTTAGACCATTTCCCTTTCAGATAGAGAGGAATTGAGGAGAGACGCTTGCTTAATCAAACTACCCGTCATTTTAATTTCGTGAACTCCGTAGAATGTTCGAGAAATTATTAAATGATTTTAGATGATCTATCAATTGGTGATTTAGTCCGATCAAAAATAATATTCAAATTTCTTTGTAACGTTTTATTATACTACTCTGAATCTACTTTCTTTAAAGTGTCAATGATTGTTGTTAAGGGTGAAATTCACACGGTCCGATACGACACCGTTTACCTGCAAGGGAAAAAGGAGAAGATCGATGAACCTTAACAGCATCTGTGTGGTGCCTGTTAAGAGCTCTCCGACGATCAAGTTAGTCACCGGAGGTCTAAAAAGAAGACCGGGATTTAATAATAGTTTTTTCGTCGTCTTATTTATTGTCACTTCCCTTCTTCTCGATAAGGGAATTTCATCATCCTTATCCCATGGAACTTATCCCATGGAAATCTTATCCTGCATAAGATTTGTCATCATTCTTATCCATGGAAATCGTTACCCCTAATAACAAAATATTATCGTTGATAACTGAAAAAATCTGGCGGCTGGTCAACACTTGGTTGCCTCTATTGTTGGTCAAGATAGGTTTATTTTTCCCTATCAGTTGCTCCCCATTCCTAAGCTTGCTCGTCTAGCTTTGGGAATGTAAGATTTTTTTTTTTTTTGGCCCCCGGCACTGTTCCCTGGAGAATGTGCCCGTGGGTATTATTCATTAAACAGCAGGGATTTTTTTTTTTTTTTTTTGCCCCCAGCACTGTGTGCCCGCTGGTACTATTCATTAAACAGTAGATTTTTTTTTTTTTTTTTCTTTGCCGTGGGAACAGTACCCATGGGTACTATTCCCGAGGGTACTGTTCATATGAATAGTAACATTTTTTTTTTTTTTGGTATGCTTCCCTTGGGTTCTATTTTTGGTACCCTTGGGTACTCTGGCCTGGGTACTATTTTTAGTACCCTTGGGTAATCTTCCCCTGGGTACTATTTTTAGTACCCTTGGGTACTCTGCCCCTGGGTATTAGTTTTGATACCCTTGGATACTCTGCCCCTGGGTACTATTTTTAATACCCTTAGGTAATCTTCCCCTGGGGTGCTCTACCCCTGGGTACTATTTTTAGTACCCTTAGGTACTCTGCCCCTGTGTACTAGTTTTGGTACCCTTGGGTAATCTTCCCTTGGTAAGGGAATAAATTGTACAAGCTTTACTCAGGTCGTCACTCCTTTAATAAGGGAATCGAACTTTACGAGCTTACTCAGCTCACCCCTTTAGTAAGGGATTTTTATTTACTATCCCTTATTGTAAGGGGATATTAATTACGGGATCCATTCAGCCCGGGTCCTTATAGTACAGGATATTCATTTATTATCCCTTATATTACGGGGATATGGATTACGGGATTCATTCAGCCCGGGTCCTGATAATACAAGATACTTATCCCCTATAGTCCGGGGTTATGGATTAAGGGATTCATTCAGCCCGAGTCCTTATAATACAGGATATTTATTTACTATCCCCTATAGTCTGTGGATATGGATTGCGGGAGTCATTCAGCCCGGGTTCTTGTAATATAGGACACTCATTTACTATCCCTTATAGTACGGGGATACGGATTACGGGATTCACTAAGCCCGGGTCCTTATAATACATGACATTCATTTACTATCCCTTATAGTACGGGGATATGGATTACAGGATTCACTCAGCCCAGATCTTTATAATACATGACACTCATTCACTATCCTTTATAGTACGAGGATACGGATTATAGGATTCACTCAGCTCGGGCCCTTGTAATACAGGACACTCATTTGCTATCCCTTATAATACGGGGATACTACACGTATAAAGATAATTGACCAAGAGTCAAGATAACTGAAAAGAATTTTATTAAAGACCATCATCGCCTCAAGGCTTATTAAAAACAAGATAACACGTGAGGGAGCTACCCTCCATTTAAAATGATTAACTAAGATGCCCCCAGTCTTTATTGTGAATGACTTGATAAGGCTAATTCCAGCCGTGAAACAATTTCTAGTCGGTATACTCATTTGAGTCCTTCTCATGCTATGTGTTATCGTTCTGGCTAAAGAACGATCTCTTATATTTGGTATTATTTTCATCTCTGGCGAGAAGGGCTGGCCTCTTCTTGTCCTTTCCTTCCTTCCGTGCACTCATGGTGTCTTCAGCGT